GTCATATTTTCAGTTTTCTTCATATTATTAGAAATCCTTCATAAACATAATGTTCGAACCCTGAACCAGTGATACAAATTTGACTTATACCTCATTTTAAGTTATTTCCAACTTCTTATTGTCATTTATAACATTGTAGTGAATGTTTTAGTTTATAAATCATAAGTAATTATTGAGTCAAAGGTATGTACATTTTTTAGGCTTGTGCGTATTTATAAACTGTCCATAGAACAATTATATCAGTGTGTATTTTTATCACCAGTTTTTAAAATCTCTCATTTTTTGCCTGAATTTAGTTATATCTTTTACAAAACTCTTTGCCAAAGTATTTAAAAAATGTGTCTTTATTTTTACTTGCATGTCATGAGAATTTCCATCTTTTGTCTAGTTTTGAGAGAAGAGTACTGAGCTGCAGTGAGATAATCTTAGAAGAAGTTAGTTTAACCATTAAAAATGATACATGAATACCCTAAACATTTATTTTAAACTTGAAATAAAGATCTGTATATTTCTTTGATTCCAAGTCAGGGTCTTTTCTTTGAGGATATGGGTTTGCTGTTTGGAGTGGAGTGTCATATTTCTGGCATTAACCAAACCCATGCTCTATCGTCTGTAAGGTCCAATTTCAGTCTCTCTATAAGTGAGGAGGATAACATTTGAAGAAAGTGGAATGTAGAATCCTGGACTTTTTAAATGCCATTTTAAAAATTGAAGTATAGTTGATTTACAATGTTGTGGTAGTTTCAGATGTATAGCGAAGTGTTCAATTATATTCTTTTTCAGATTCTTTTCTGTTACAGGTTATTACAAGGTATTGAATATAGTTCCCTGAGCTCTACAGTCAGTCCTTGTTTATTTTATATATAGTAGTGTATATCTGTTAATCCCAAACTCCTAATTTATCCCTCCCCACCCCTTTCCCCTTTAGTAACCATAAGTTTGTTTTCTATGTCTGTGAGTTCGTTTCTGTTTTGTAAATAAGTTCATTTGTATCATTTTTTTAGGTTCCACATATAAATGATATCATATGATATTTGGCTTTCTCTGACTTACTTCACTTAGTATGATAATCTCTAAGTCCATCCATCTTGCTGCAAATGGCATTATTTCATTCTTTTTATGGCTGAGTGATATTCCATTGTGTGTGTGTGTGTGTGTGTGTGTGTGTGTGTGTGTGTGTGTGTATAAATATATACCACATCTTCTTTATCCATTTATCTGTTGATGGACACTTAGGTTGCTTCCATGTCTTGGCTATTGTAAATAGTGTTGCTGTGAACATTGGAATGCATATATCTTTTCGAATTAATATTTTCATCTTTTCTGGATGTATGCACAGGAGTGGGTTTGTTGGATCATATAGTAACTCTATTTTTAGTTTTTTTAGGGAACCTCCATACTGTTCTCCATAGTGGCTGCACCAATTTATATCCCCACCAACAATGTAGGAAGATTCCCTTTTCTCCACACCCTCTTCAGCATTTATTATTTGTAGACTTTTTAATGATGGTCATTCTGACCAGTGTGAGGTGTTAGACTTTTATACTTTATATTTTCTAATATTTTGCATGTGTGTCACCTACATCAAAATTGACAGCAATTGTTAAGTAATTCATCTTTATTGACTGCTTTGGAAGCATTCAACTTAATTTTCATGGAAGCAACAACTCATGGAGCAACAGTTGTCTCTTGCACTCATTTTTTGTTATTTAGTAAAACATGTCATCATAATTACAAGTTCCATTGATATAAGCAGGCTTAGGAGCAAACTTGTTTGATTCTTGGTGAACATACATTTTCATTGGTGGAAGTAGAAATGGAAGGTTGTACTAGATAGAGTGTAACCTAACAGCCAAGAGCACTCAGGATATTTTACAGAGGGATTTGGGAGCATTGCTTAATCTAACAAGTCATTGAAATGGAAGTTGTTGTTTAACAGACTTTCAGTTCTAATACTCTCTGAAATCAGAATTTACTCGTAATGGGGGTAGAAATTAATCTTAAATCCTATTTATATCTTGCCCTCTCTTCTTTCCTCTCTTGAATAATTATTTACTATATGCCTTGTGCTGTGCTAGGTGTAGAGAATAAAGAGATGAACAATATACAGTTTCTGTTCTCAAGGAGCTGAAATCCAAAGAGGGAGACACTGTATGGTGCTGTCATTTTCAGTTTTCTGCTTTAAGAACTAGCCCAGAAATGTGACCTATACAGATGTGGAGGATTACTCCACTCAATCTGTCAGGAAAATTTTCCGAGTGAGGCTTGACCTTAAAGGATGGATGGGAATTAACTAGGATCTCAGAATAGGGATGTGCACTTCAGGTAGTGAGGAGAGTATGGGCACACCTTTTACAAGCAAGATTAGCAATCCTCTGAATGTCTGCTGACCTGTTCAAAATTGCCTTGTAATTATATGTGTGTATATTCTTTCATTCATTTCTTCGTAAGTGAAACTCTCACCCTGGTTTTTCCCATGCTTTGTGATAGTGATTATTATTTTTGAAAATAACCACTTACCTATAAGCAGCAGAAATGGATGAATGTAAAGCAAAGTCTTGTATTCCATCTTCTCTGTTTCTCCCCACTCTCCCTAGAAATGTTATTAATTAACATTTCAGGGAAGTACAGTAATGACCACCATTTGTTGAACACTTATGCTAGATACTTATGTCATGTTTTATACATATTTTTTCACTTATTTTAATCCATATAGCCACCCTGTGAGGTAAGAATTAGGATTTCCATGTGTAGATGAGGAAACTGAACCTTGGGAAAGTTAAGTAAATTGCCAAAAGCTTCACTGTTGGAATTGACGAACCAGAATTTGAAGCCATGTTTCTCTAACTCAGAAAGCCTGTCTCTTAACCATTGTACCAAGATTTGTGATTGTGAGGACTTGCTGTAAATCATGGAAGAAGGTTCGGATACTTTTTTCCATACAGTTCTCCGAGATAATTATGTTTTAAAATCCAAAGATAATTTAAAAATTGTGTTGAGGTTTAATTATGTCATTGATAGTTAATGTAACTCATATTAAATTTAAATTATATGAAATTTTCTCACGAGATTATAGTTCCCATGAGACATGCCAGTCAAGTAAACTGCAGAGGTTTATGTCCCCTCCTTCCACCACTTGCCCCACTTCTCTTTCATTAGATGATTAGCGCCCTTACCAATACTGCAAATTCTTAACAGTCTGCTAAAAATGCCTTTTTTATCCAACCTCCGGTGTACTGAATATAATCTGTTACAAATCACCTTCTTGGCTGCCAGGGTCCTTTATAGGCCTGTGCCCTGGCAATCTCCCTTTACCTCTGTTGCATTCCCAGCCCCTCAGCCCCACACCACTGCCACCTCCACATCCCCTGCCCAAGACACACACATATACATCCCCATACTCTAGTTTCACAGAACTCAAAATTCCTTAAACCTACACTTTTAAAAACTGCTGTGCCTTTGCTCTTGCTACTCCAGTGCTCTTCCCATTTATCTTCTGTTGTCGGCCTGGGAAAATCCTGCTTATCCCTCAAGTGACAGTATATATGTCACCTTCTCTGTAAAGCCTTCTCCCTCTTCTCCAGGAGAGGCAGTGTTTATCACTTCCTCAGCATTCAGTTTATGTCTTTGGTAGCACCCTTAAGACATTTAGTCATAGTTCATTTTCTGTCTGTTTCCCCTGCTCCGGAATGGGAGCTCCTAGGAGGATAGATCATTATGGGTTTTTTATCTTTTACCCTCAGCACCCGCATGTAATAGCTTCTTAATGAATCATACTGAATTGTTAGTGATATTGATAATAACCTTTATTAAGTGCATTCTGTATCTTAGGCACTGTGCTTGACATTTGTATACATTATTTCACTTAATCCTCATACTCATCCTGTGTTATAGGGACAGTTTTTACCCCTATTTTACAAATTAGAAAACTGTAGTTAAGAGAGGCAAAATAATTTGACCAGGGTAACACAGCAAGCAATAATGGAGTGAAGATTTTAATCCAGTGTCTGACTCTAGAGCTCATTCTCCTTTATACCTTACCTATAGAATCATCCAATCAGTCCATCCATCAATCAAATAAGTTGTCTGGGGAGTTATCTCCAACTAGGAGATACAGTCTATTGAAACCAATCCTGAATGACTAAAGAGGAGGATGTAAAAGATACTCTGTCACCAAAAGGATGAGTGAGGTCCCTTGGAAAAGGCTTGAGTGTCATTTGAAGAATCTGGTTTGGTCCCAAAAAGAGGCTCAAAGAAATCTGCTGTGATCACTGATAAAGTTAGGCTCACAGAATACATTACCTGGCAAAATTGCCCTCACACATTGTTTTTGTAAAGAGTGAATGAGAAAAAGAAAAAAGTCATTGTTTGGCTGAAGAATGATGTGGATCATCAAATGTCAGAACTGTCCTTTTACAAAGGAAAAGACCAAGGTCCAGATTAATTAATTAATCAGCTTGCCCAAGAGCACATAGCTAATAAATAATGGAGCTTGGAGTAGCGTTCCAATTTCCTGAGTCCCAGTTCGGAGCCTTTTGCACCACAGTGTGCTCTACGTTAGAGTTTTTCTGCGTTCTTGTTTGGAGAAAAAAAATGCTAGACCAAGGCAGAGGTGAGTCTTTTAGGGAAACAGCTTGATGCTTTTGGAGCTGGTCAGCTTTTGCTTAAGACCTGCTGCTATTTTGGGCTGTCAGTTTGCTCAGAACTAAATACTGCCAGCCATACAAATAAAAAGGCAAGGCTATTATTTAGGCCTCCTAGGTCTATGCATTCACTTCTCTGCTTACAAGGGCAAATTATTAGCTCATCTCTGCTGGGCGGTTTGAACATTGGGTTATATTAGCCCTTGTCTTAGCCCTTAGATGTCTACTGGCTTGTCTCTGTTACAATAAATGTACAAGCCTTGCTTTCAGGTTGGGAGGGAAGAGGGAAAAGAAAGAAATCTAAATCAGTCTCTACTGATCCTGATTTCTTATGCTGTTTCTTTCTCTTTCTTTCAGGGCGACGAGGAAGGACCCAGGTAAGATCACATTATTGTTGTTTGTCTGTTCTCAGAACTGAAGTAGAGTGACATTTGTGGCCTTTTAATGCCCCGTGAAATATGACCAGCCAAGGAACAGCACAGAAAAGGGATCTCCATCTTATTCCAGGGCTTTGAAGATCTTGTTTTGTAAGATTCCCATCTCCCTCCCCATCTATGCCATTTCCTGTCTGTAACCTTCAGATAAAGATAGTCTTTAAAGTATGTAATGATAGTAACTTTGCTTTATTCTGTAGCACATTCAGAATACCTTGTTGAGACAAGTAGGTACTATATTTGAATGGTAATTAGGTATCAGGTAGACTGAATAAACTTTTGCATTGTTCTTTCTTGATTGGAATTGGATTGCCTTTTTTTTTTTCTTTTAATGGACTCTGGTTTCAATATTCTTTATTTCTGACCTGTAACATCCTTGGGTCTGACTCAAGACACCTATACAGTGAATCTGAGGTCATAGGTATACAAAACTTTGTTTAGGAAAAAAAAAAATGTTCCTTTGTGCTTCTGTTTCACCACATGAAATTTAAAAGTGCATTTTATCATTGCCTCAGGCTTGTAGTGAACCTGGACTTTAGTTTACTTACCTTTCCTGTCTTTCTGCTCAGGCAGTGAGAACAAGCTCTAGGAAATGCTATAGCTATGCTGTGAACACAATCAAGGGGCATTTGTACAAAGTAAAATGCAGTGTCCAGTTGGGTCCCCTCTGTCATGTAGGATCCAGGACTGTTAAGTCTGGGAGGTATCAGAACATTCATCCAGGCCACAGCTATTCAAACTTTAGTTTTAGTAGAAACACCTTTTTTTTCAAATGGGCTTTAAGTAGAACTCCAGTGTATGCAAAACAGTTTTTTTGTTTGGTTAAAGTTGGGACCACATCTACTGGTGAAACTTCTCTCTTCCTTGCAATAGACCCTGAGGGGCTGCTGCAGAAACCTAGAGTTCCTGAGAACTTAGTTTGAAAATCACTTATCTAGGGCTTCCCTGGTGGCGCAGTAGTTGAGAGTCCGCCTGCCGATGCAGGGGACGCGGGGTCGTGACCCGGTCCAGGAAGATCCCACATGCCGCGGAGCGGCTGGGCCCGTGAGCCGTGGCCACTGAGCCTGCACGTCCGGAGCCTGTGCTCTGCAACGAGAGAGGCCACAACAGTGAGAGGCCCATGTACCGCAAAAAAAAAAAAAAAAGAAAGAAAATCACTTATCTAATTCAAGCTTCTCATTGAAAGAAGCTAAATGAGTTGTCCAAGGTTACCTTACTGGAGCCAGGATTTGGCCCTTCTTTGGTTTTATTTACAAATCAACAAATACAGTTTCTTCTTTTTCGTTTCTCCCTCCCCACATCCTGAGGCTCTCTCTTAGTGCCAAATGTTATTCCACATCTTCATCTCCTGCTGCTTCCTTCCCTTGAGAACTGTAGTTCTCAGCCTAGATCTTGTTCCTTGTCTTCTGTGGCTAAAGCTACAGGCATCCCGCTTTAAACCTGCAGAGCTTCAGGGAATCCCTTTAAATTCCATCCTCCCCCCATTCTCAGGAACAGGCTCCCTTTATGTTGTGGTTCATTTCTTTCCTCCCTTCCTCATGACCCAGTGTATAGGCCCTGTGCTATATACTGGGCATATAATGAAAATTAAGACAGACATGGTCCCTGCCTTGTGGATCCTAAGTCTAGTAGGAGAGACAGGCATATAACTGGGCACTTCTCCTTTGGGGGAAGTACTATGATTAAGTGAAGTTTAGGCTGCTTTAGGAAGGGAAGCTCACCAGAAAAGGTTATGTGTAAACGGAGGTCTGAAGGATGAGAAGGCAGACAAAGGAGAGGCAGAGATAGAGCTGTCCTATGGATAGGAAACAACTTGTGTAATAGCTCCAGACAAGAGAAGAGTGGAGGAAAGAAAGCAGAGTCCAGATCACTGAGGGTCTTACAGGCCTCCTTCAGGTATCTGAGCTCTCTCCCGCAGAGTGTGGGAGGGCATTAAATAATTTAAAACATGGATTAACCTGAGTAGATTTGCATCTGGGAAGTCTCCTCTGCCTGCAGAATGGAAAATGGATTGGAGGTGGGTCAGAGCCTGGGAGACTAGTTAGATTAGGCTAGTGATGGGAGCTTATATCAACATCTTCTCTAGCTATTGACCAAGTTCTCACCATTTTACACAGACCTTTGGTTTAGATAAACTCTTTAAATTATCTCCTTGGCACTCTGCCTCTTCGCTCAAAACTAGCTCTAGCTCCAGCTCCTTAAAATCCAGACCAAGCAGAGCCCTAGACCTTTTCTTCCTCAGAAAGAGAGTTCAAACAAGACCAGTATAAAGAAAATACCTTAGCAGGTGTAGCGAGCAGACTCCACAGGATAGAAATGGCATTTTTGTCTTGGGAGAGCCTGATAAGGATGGACACGTTCATCTTGTCTTTATGGCTACATGCCAGAGTCATGTTGATTGGAAGAATACAGGGACCTTGTGAAGAGATTACCTTCAAAGTTACTATTCAGTGTGAGATACTGGCTTCAGAGTTTAATTGCAGATTCCTTCTTGTCATTTTGACAAGATTGTGGTGAAGTATAGCGTTTCTTTACTAGCAACCAAGATGTCACGCTGTCTCCCTCGAGCCAGGCTGCCATGGATGTCAGTAGGGATTCTCTTGGACTGGGACTTTATTGGTAAAATGAGCACTTGAAAAAAATCATGTTCCAATTTGGCAGAAAGAGGAAAGATGAGTCAAATTTTCCTTTTACCCTTTAAATTCATACTTGTTGGTTCCATTCAGTTTGTGCTGAACTACCATTTGGCTCAGTTTCTTCCAATTAACACTTCAGGGCAGATTGCCTTTGATCTGAAATTTCTCTCATTTATGATATACACTTCACTGTCTCAGTAAGCCAGAGTTTTGTTCCAAAGGCTTTTGTATTGCTGACGGTGTTAAATGAGAGTTTGATGTGTAAGGAAGACAGAAGGAGTGTGGGTCTGCCTGCACAGGGGATGGAAGAGAAATGAATCTGGAGACCCTGCGTTCCAGGTCTGCTTGGATTTTCATGCCTGTGTCTCCTTTGCTAGTATTCTTTCCACACAGCCACTTCCCTGCTGTCTGCACAGAAGTTCAGGGAGAATTGAATTCCAGCCGCTCTCCATGGTGGTCAGAACAAAGGAAAATTCCTGTCCTTTTGAAAATTATTTGTCTATAATAGATCTATATTTTTCTCCATTCTACCAGCTAGAGTCTCCCTGCCTTTTTTTTTTTCTTTTCAGTTTTGACTTCCCAAGCTGTTTGACGTGAGGTGGCCAAGTATTTGTGCTTTTGGTCATGTCTGTGCCTTGTTCTGATTTTTATTGTGTATTTGTCCTGTAATTAACAATAATAGGCAAAGCTACCATTTAAGTTTTACTACGTACAGTGTTTTATGTATATTCTCTTTTAACCCTCATGTAAAGCTTATGATGTAGTTATTATTCTACTTGTAAAATGAGGAAATGAATGCCCTAGATCACACAGCTAGTAGAAGCAGAGCTAGGACTTGAATCTAGTCTGGCTTCAGAGCTCATGCCTTCAACCACCTGTCTCTGAGAGGCCAGCACACTTCTCTCTGTGACCCTGAATGAATAAGAGGATTCACGCCCACTTGTCAGCGCATCACTTTGGTCTTGTTCCTCTCACCTAGGAGTTCTTACTGGCTTTGACGTTGAAGTGATGTGGCATCTGTTTGCTGCACGCTACCCCTCCTCTCCTTAGCCTCTGTCATTATGAGGGGATATTTCGTCATCTCATCCTCACACAGTGTCCCCTGAGGGTCAGCAGTAAAAGGGGTGCTTTTAGACTCCCCGGGGGAACAGGTAACCAAGCCTTCCTTTGACCCTGCAGAATTAGCTGCCTGTTGCCCCTCCATCCAGTAGTTACTCTTCACACCCATGATACAGTCGTGCAGATGACAAGGTTTCTCGGAGCATATGGAGGAACAGAAGTCCTACTATGTGGAACATGGATATTAACCTCTGTAGAGTCACCTTTGAAGAGGGTGTCTTTGAAGCCCAGGGTGATTCTTTTTCTCCAAGCAAAAAAAAAGCAGTTTACACTTTTGGCAGCAATTTTCTGTCTCCTCTGTGCTATTATGGGAGATGTTGTGTTTGCGCCCTCGCAGATTGGCTCCTTCTGTGCTCCTGCCGGAGCCTGCTGAGAAGTAATGTATGTTCACGGAGAGGGGGTGGCAGTGGGCTCTGCTGCCTTAGAGCTGTTGTGTAGTGGAAGGAAGTCAGAGAGGGAAGGACCCTTAAACTCTTGTGTTCAGAGGACAGAGGAGCAAGGTCAGTTTTAAATTTTGATTTGCGATTGAGATTTTCTGTGAATTTTTTTAACTAAGAAGAAAAAGGCTTTTTAACAGTAACAGCCATACTTAAGATTTTGGTAGATCTTTTCATCTTCAGAGCTGGCTCTTATTCAGGCAAAAAGCTCCTGCTGAGATCAGTGTGAATCTGACCCATGCTGATTCTCTGATCAAATGGGCAGTGAGTTCTGAAGGAATAGGAGCTCAAGGAGAGTCAGCAGACCTACCTTCTATCCTTGGTTTACCTGGGACCAACGGTGTGACCTTGGGCAAGTCCTTTAACCTCCTTGCTTCTTTGTAGTCTGTTTTTACTTCCCTGTAAATACTAGCCTTTCTTTCCCTCACTCGGCACCCAGTTTTTTGGGATATAAATACAGTGGAGGAATACAGTCATATATTAAATATGTGGAGGAATACAGTCATATATTAAATATGAAATGAAAAGAATCTGCTTATAGGTTCTGTAATTTGATAGTTTTTTTGTACATTTCTCAATTTTGTTTCTTTAAACATTTTCTTGGGGCTATATACTAGGTACTCTTTTTTCCCCCCTCTAAAATAACAATCATATGTATGTTCTTAGATATGACATTTCTCTTCCTGATGACTTAGTTTGTAGAGATAAGAGGGGACTAAGTCAGTGATACGCTTAGGTTTCTTTTGTCCTC